GAGATTAATAAAAGACCTATATTACAGGGTCTTTAAACAGGTGATCTAGGTAGTTCAGTGCACAATGGCCTACAACTACTCCAAGGGTGCTTTCACACTAGCAGTTTTGGTGCGCACCCCGGTTCGATAGACGTCAGAGTTCGGTACGTTTGGAAGATGTCAACGCTGTCTTCCGAACTTGGGTGCGCACCTGCAAACCGTATCCAAGTCTGCTTAAAAGGGGTGGTCTGGGGTACGGTTCATGTGAACTCCAGTACGGTTTGCCTCTGATATAAAAGCAATCATACCAAAGGATCCCCGATCACCGATCGCCGACCACAGAAAGCAGTATCTGCCGATACCGATCACCAATCTTTTTAAAGCCTACTTTATCATTTATAACTATTTATAGTGATACTCCAATCAGGATTTTTAGACATTTATTCAGGGCCTGAATTTCATTTTTTTTTTTAAATGGGGGGGAATTCCCCTCTTAGGTGACTCTTGTGAGAGAAGCAGCAGCTTTCACACAGGAGTCCGCTACTGATCCGTGGCTGTTTACCACAAACACAACATTTATCCATTATTTTGATTTCAAACCCAAACATTGTCACTAAAAATGCTTTTTCAGCATTGCAATTCTTTTTATTTTTTTTACACAGTACAGTAATACAATCTTTCACAGACATGTTTAAACACAATACATTTTTACTTTTGCATTTACTTCTAGATTTATAACTATAGATAAATATAAACAAAACCGAGTTAAACGTCCTTCAAGGACAGCGCATTCACACTTTGCTCCATCCTTATTCTGCTCTGTCACTCATCGACAACCTGCCTGTTCTGTCTGAGGGCCGTATATTTACCACAGGTACAGCCTGCTCTGAGCATCTTTATGCCTCCATAACTGTACCACAGTACATTATAGGTAATTGCATATGTTTCATGTTTACATTGTGCACTCCCCACCAGGTACAATATTCTGATTGTTTGCATCTTGTTTTTAAGCCCAGAAATAATAAATGTACTTGTTCTAATAAATTTATATTTTAATGAACTCATTCTAATATGTCTAAAAAATCATTTACATTGCTGGTAGGTTATCATTGCACAAATTAACACTCTCTCTACAATAAATAAAAAAATTAGAAGAGTTCTAAACTAACGCGCTGTCTTCACTGTATCTAACGCACACACTCTCAAGGCTGATTTATACTCAAGCGTCCACAAGTTCGCTTTGAGTGCGCGTGACATCGTTTTGCGTGGCGGTGCGCACAACATTTTTTTTAAGTTTCCGTGCAGCTCCGTTTCCGAAGATGCACGAGTTCAAAGCGACTCTAGCCGAACATGCACGTCTGTGCCAGCATTTGTGTGAAACAGAAGTGTTTCTAAAGGAATTAAAGCCACAACTTTACTGTTAATAGAGAAACTTGGCAAAACGGTGGTAATTCATACATACACAGCCTCTCTCTCTCTCTCTGTCGTAAATGAACAGTTGATGAATCACACTTTTCTGAGAATAGACTTGAAGTGGAGATCGCTAAACTGCAAGCTAACCACTGTTTATCCACAGTGGAGAGAGAGAGAGCATGCACAGGGTTGCCAGGTGGATAAAGATAAGTAGCACGTTTATCAGATATTTCCTTATTGCGCAAGTGTAAAGCTCTGTTTTGGGGATTACGTCTCTTTATATCAGGCAACCCAGTTGTGTTCCTCTGCGGCCAGATTATTAACAGATGCTCTATTCATTCTTTTTTAGAAACCTTGCACTTTTCTACTCAATTTTAAACGTTGTAAAATTAAGCGTGGTCCACTGCTGCACACGTGCCACAGTATCGATACAGGGCCAGCTGTATCGATACTCGTATCGTCAAATCTCTGTGATGATACATCGTCGTATTGATATTTTGAACACAGCACTAGCATGCATAACAGTCCTGAGCACAAGCTATACCGGTGGTCAATAAGAATAAAGCGCAGATATGCTGTTCTAAATGGACATCGGGAACGGGATATTGTTAGACCTCCCGCTCCCGTTCCAATTACACCAGAGTTCCCGACCGCTACCACGTTTAATTCGAGAATTTAATCCCGCGGCGCAAAAAATCCGGTCGGGTCCCGCGGTTCCCGTGGGAGAGCCACGGGAATGCAGACCTGTACTTGCAGCGCAGTAGTAGACTCAGTGTGGAAACGATCTCTGCACTGCTGCAGATGCACCGCTACTGGACTGGAAAAATGCGCACCACATACGCACTGCAAACGGAGTAATGTGAACCTGGCGTTATGTGTGTGCACTGCGAGTGTGCATGAGCGCACGGTCTGCAGGAGAGCGCGCGAGCGCTGAATGGTTAAACACTGGCAAGAATTAAAAAGAAATGCAATTTATACATTTTAGTGACGATGTGACACTGCCTCGATTGTGCAAGTGACAATTCCTGTGTCAACTGTGCAGCGTGCAGCTCGCTTATAGACAGACACGATGTGTGGTGATTTGAAGACATTTGCGTATTTTGAGATAGAAAGAGAGAGCACGCGCATGGTGATTCACTCACGCTGCTTGTGAAATTACGTGTCACACAAGGTTTTCAAATTGCTTTATAAGTTATTTAATGAAACAATATGAAGGTGAGTATCTCCCCTTCAGCATTATAATGATTTCACCCACGCTGGACAGAGACTGAGACGGTGCTGCTGCATGTCGTGCCAAACCTCTCATGGCAGAGTCATCAGCTTGAGATCGTTTTTTGAGATCGGCCTTTTAGAGACCACCGATCGATCAACCCAACGTGATTATAGGCCGATAGTGATCGATAGCCCATCGGAGCACCCCTACTGTTAATGATGTATTATTTGATAAAAATGTGTGTTTGTTTCACTCACTTTCCTGACGAGCATGACTGACCTGCTGCAAGCAGACAGCTGTATATCTCATTTCTGTTCACCTTCAGCATTCTTTAGAGCATTTGGAAACAAAACCAATGGTTCAAAAACATAAATATAAAAGTGATGAAAGCAATGCTATGCATTTTGCCGCCTTCTCCTGCGCCAATGTTACTAAGCAACGGGTAAACAGCTGCTGGCTTGATGATGCAAACAAATCACGGTTCGGAGCCAAATAAAACAATACGAACACAGTCCAGCAGGGCAGGGGAGCAATTGAACTCGGGTTCGGACCAGGCAATCGAACCAAGTGTGAAAGCACCCTAAGAAGGTCCAAAGACAAACTATTAACAGAAATCTGGTCCATTTCCATCTTCTAACACAGGGATACTTTAATAATTTAACACATTTACATGTTCACTGTTTTTAGATGTCTGTTAATGGTCAAATGACATGCAGATAAACAAATAAAATGTTATTTCTTTTTATTTTACATTTTTATGATTTAAAGGAATAGTACACCCAACATTGAAAATTTATTAACCCTCAGGCCATTTAAGATGGATATGTTTCTTCATCAGAACAGATTTGGAGAAATGATGGATTTGTTGCTAACAAATTGGCATGGGCCGGTATGAGATTCTGAAGGTATGATAACCTTAGATAAAAAAAATATCACGGTTTCACAGTATTGCGATTACAGCTCTAAAATATGTTATTTTTAAATGTCTGGGTAAAAAAAAATAGATAGATAGTTTATGTTCGACTTGGAAGTATTTATTTAGCGATCGGCGCTATAACGTCATCTGTACGGAACCATCATTGTGTACGGAACATGGTTAGTCTACGTTACACGAAAAATTCCCATTCGACAGACATCGTCTTTTTCGACGGGGGAAAAAGTTCCAGGGATTCATCTCCTTCGGCCATCCTACACACAGGTGACTCTGCTCGCAGCAACCGGAGGGGGAGGGGTCGTGTGACTCGCTACGCTCTTTGCTGCACACAATTGAGGGAGTCCTGCACTTTCCGCAGTGTGCATACCGCAGGAACGGTATAACGGAAAATTTTAGTGGTTTTGAAACCGTGACTTTTCCAAACCGCGGTATACTTTGAAACCGGTTATCGTCCCATGCCTAATAACAAACACAGCTTTTCACTTCACAAGATGTTAACTGATGGACAGGAGTGGTGTGGATAATTGTGATGTTTTTATCAGATGTTTGGACTCTCATTCTGACGGCACCCATTCACTGCAGAGGATCCATTGCTGAGCAAATGATGTAATGCTAAATTTCTCCAAATCTGTTCTGATCAAGAAACAAACTCTTCTACACTGAACGGCCTGAGGTTGAGCACTTTTTCAGCAAATTTTCATTTTTAGGTGAAATATTCCTTTAATTATTAGTTTTTCCATCAACTCTCAAAACCCAGGCGGGGAAACCTTGTTTTAACACATCTAACCATTTTGTTGGTCAAAACTGGAGATAAGAATCTCAGCTACCATAACAAGGCACTATCAGCATGTTATTGTATAATGCATGGAGGCAATGTGTATTTAAAAAAAAGTAGAGAGAGAGAGAAACCACTGAAGCAGATCCTCACATGGGACTTCAGACACAGAAGTAAGTAAAAATTAAAGTTAATCAAAATCTGGGGCTGGCTGCCTTGTTCCCATGGTGCCTTCACAGCTCACACTTCACACATTACAGCAAACGCCTTTTCTCCAAAAGCACCAAGTGGAAAAAATCATGCTTTCACTTAGGTACCTGAGGTTATTTGGGAATATGCATTCATCACACCACAACACAAGAGCATTTGCACGACACGCTGTCTGACAAAGAGTTTAACTGTTCAGGTGACTAATAGAGAAATGCAGACATAACGGCCAGTGGTTACAAAAAACAAAGAGCTGTCTTTGACTCAGTAGATAAGAAAAAAGGAAGAACAAGATCCTTATTTAACTTAATGGTGATTAAAATGTCCTCCTCAAGGGTCTGTGGTGTTTTTTAGAAGCTTATTCGAAGAATTACTCTGTTTGCATCCTCAATAATGACCTTTTTACAAATCTGAAAAAATGACAAAAATTTCTGAGCTTTTGACAATGCAAACCTGACTTAAGGTGACATGAAACTCACCAATCTTCTGGCTGAAGATTTTGTCAAAGGTCAGTTCATCCCTTTCCTCCAGGTACTTCTGCATGACACTCCGAATACTGTAAGAAAATGGGGAAAAGAATATAAAGATGACTTTAGTTCAAAACTTTATATGCAAAACAAAGGCCATCCAAACACCACATAAGCTAAAACCCATCTCGTCCTGAAAGTGAGACAACTGGATTTGAAGCTAACCTCCCGCGCTGCCCTTCCACCTCGATCCCGGCCTTAGTTTAGGTCTCTCCATAACCACCTGCTCAATTCTCCGCCCATCGCATCCCAAAAGAGGGCACTGCCGTGCTGCCCTGGGAGAGGGTGTTAATGAGCAGCAAGTTTGGGAGACTGAATCAATTAGCACCCCCTCCAAGGGCTCATTATCACCCAACCACAGCCCCATAGAGTCAGAGTGCAGGTCAGGGGAGATAGGAGTGTTCCCAAACATGCTTTCTGCAGTCCTGGACCAGACACAGACACCCCTGTAGTGAGTGACCTGACACATTATGGTACATGGACAGGGCTGATATCAGGACTGCTAATAGTGCTGTGCGATGATATATGAATACTCATTACATATTTATGGCAGTGTTTCTCATACATTGATTTATTTGTGGCGCCCAAATAGATTTTCCAAAAGGCTTTGACTTCGTTGAATAAACATGAGCCCTGCACATTTCAAAATCGAAACCCGGTGTGGGTGTTTTTATATCATTGTATTTCTGAAGGAATCAGACTGTCTTCAGAAAATTTTGGATGTAATTTTCATTTCATCTTGCATGTAATGTCTGATGAAGCAGCATTTGTGAGCGGAGCGCTGCTTTGTGTACAGTCGTTACCGGGGAAACCTCGAGCTCTACTACTCCAACAGCGCCTCCTGCTGGCAGAGAATGAATTTGCATATATATGCAGCCACAAATAGAGTGCAAGTCTGTGGGAAACACTGTTTATGGTATGCCATTTTATAGGACTGGCTAAAAAAATATCGATATCTCGATATTAATCGATTCTTATTTTTACGGAACGATATAGATTCTTAAATCCCAAGAATCGATTAGTCTAGCCTGTTTTCAGTTAATGGATGGAACATTGAAGGGTACTTCCCATCCAATATATCGCAATAAGGATTGTGCTTTGGTATTTTAATATGAAGTAAAGTCTCAGATTTCAAATTCTGTCCATTGTATTGCAGTATTCAAACAATAAATGCCGTTTTGGCGCTGTTAAATGTAGAGTGATAGATCGCACTGTAGTGCCTCAGTTCAACAGACGCGGCAGCGCGAGGCGCACGTGAACTAATCATCGCCTCCACATTAATACCAGTTTCAGCACAAAATAAACATGACTAAACATCCGAAGGTAAGTTAAAAGAAAGAGTACAACTTTACAATCTGTATTCTGTCTCATGTAATCGCTCAATCAGTGTTTCAGCCGCGCAAAGACGTCAATATAATGGCTTGTAAACAATGTCACATAGTGTCACATTTACCTCAGGAAAAACATATTCGGTGACCATACTCATACTAATGAGACCAACTCATTAGTCAGCTAGAAAAATAAACTGTAGAAGGCCATTTTGCGAAATATATGCACCATATAACATTCATTATAAATGTAACTGTTCTTCAATGTTTAATTTATGTTTGAATAAATCCATCAAGTTATGACAGCTACAATTATGTTTATATAAAAAAAACAAAAAAAACAAATTGAAGTAGAAACATCATGCAATTGTAACTTTATTATTTTAAAAACTTAAGTGAAATTAACAAATCAGTTAATTTTAACCTTCAATATAGTAATGTAGTACCAACTGACTCGCATGTATATTTTACAGCATTAGTTGAGAGATTTTTTTTCCTTCAGAAAATTTGGCATGTACTGTACCTGATATATATGCAAAATAATCTATACTGAATCGAATCGAATTGGATCGCAAGCTTGTGAATGAGAATCAAATCGAATCGTGAACTGTGTCAAAACCCAGCTCTTCCATTTTAACATAAGTTCAAAAGTTTTGGGTTAGTACAACATTTTTTTTTTTAATTGATACTTTTATTCAGCAAGGATTCATTAAATTGATCAAAAGTAACAGTACAGACATTTATAACGTTACGAAAGATTTCCGTTTCCAAAATGCAGTTGTATATTCAAAGAATCCTGAAAAAAAGTATTACAGTTTCCACAAAAATATTAAGCACAACTGTTTTCAACATTGATAATAACAAAAGATTTCTGAAGGCTCACGCCGGTTTCACACTGCACGCGTAACCAGAGCAGAGGCAGCGCAGAAGCGGTGCGTATGCAGAGTGGGAGCAGCGCGTGTCCATTGTGCTTTCACACTGGCAGCGTTTGTCGTGCGTAGACAACTATATTAAATTACAGACGAGTATCGTTCATTCAGTCACGCTTTTCAGGTGTTCTGCGACAACTGTCTGTCACGTGCTTTGATATTGGCAGCATGATGCATATAACATGCTGTACATACAGTTTACATGATAAAAAGTAATCTTAAAGTTAATAAATGCCTCTAGTTTTAATAATTTAAACAGGCCTTTGAAGTTTGGGCAATAACTCCTGGCAGTGATGTGTTTTCGTGTAGTTGATTCTGTGCTAACTGTGATATTTGATGGGGTTTTTTTAAATGTTGTAGATTTAAGTAGCAAATGAGAATCGCTAAAATTGTTGAATATATTTTGAGACAAAGGTCTTCTTAATGATTCCCAGTTTGGTTTAAGATAATTAAAGCAACAGTTTTTCAATAACGAGAAAAATATGTAAAAGTATGGTATTTGGGGTAAAAAGCGCCCCTGCTGTTGGGGCTAAAGGCACAATAATTAACATGATAATTAATAGATGGCTTTTCCATTTGTTGGCATGACATGGTTAGATTCAGCTGATAAATATCATATATTATGTTGGGTGTCCACCTTAGAGATAATCACCATGTTTAGAATGAAACCATCATATTTAAAAACATGATATTAATCATATCATATTATAAAATTGTATTTGTAGTTACTACTGTAAATCTATTTTAAATTATTATGGGATCTCCTTCAATGCTTTCAGAATCTTTACTTTTCATTTTGTTTCTGTACTTTAAAATATATTTTATATTAACATTTTAATGACAGTATATTTATTGAACATTATTTACCAAAATGAGCAGAAAATAGCCTAGTACAAACTTTGCTAAAGTGGTTTTGAACAACTATTAACTTAGACATTATTTAAAAAAAAAAAAACATTTTATCTAGAGTATTTATCAATACTGTGTGCCTTTTACCCCGTGATTGTGAAACACGAAACGCCTCACATGATTTTATGGTGAAATTGTTATTTTTCATGTTAATCAGGTCAATTTTGATCAAGAACAAAGCACTGTGGCTTTAATCCAGTTTAAGCGGTGCAGCAAAAATAGACTCGGCGCCGAAACAATCGCAGCACTGCCACTTCTGCTCTGCGCCGCCTCTGCGCACGGTGTGAATGCTCTAATCTATTAACATGGGCGCCGAAAAAAATATGTGCTGCTTACGCCCTGCTTACACGTGTGGTGTGAAACCGGCGTCATGTGACACTGAAGACTGGAGTAATGATGCTGAAAATTAGGGCTGCACGATAAATCGCATGCAATTGTCAATGCGCATCTCGTCAGTTAAGCTGGTTCTGTGATTAGTAGTAAATCTCCATCACTTGCGTTCAGATGGAGCGGCATTTACTAAACAGAGCCGTAGTTAACTGACAAGCTACGCAATATCGCGTTCATAATCGCAGATGAATCGCCGCTCCCATCTGAACGCACGTGATGGAGATTTACTACTAATCACAGAACCGGCTTTACTGACAAGATGCGCATGACAATTGCATGCGATTTATCGTGCAGCCCTACTGAAAATTCAGCTTTGCATCACAGGAATAAATTACATTCTAAAATATATTTGAACAGAAAAGTTCTTTTGAATCGTAATAGTATTTCACAATATCCCTGTTTTTACTGCATTTTTAATCAAATAAATGCAGCCTTAATGAGCATAAGAGACTTTAAAAATAGCGATTTATCGTGCAGCCCTACTGAAAATTCAGCTTTGCATCACAGGAATAAATTACATTCTAAAATATATTTGAACAGAAAAGTTCTTTTGAATCGTAATAGTATTTCACAATATCCCTGTTTTTACTGCATTTTTAATCAAATAAATGCAGCCTTAATGAGCATAAGAGACTTTAAAAATATTAAAAATCTTACTGAGCCCAAACTTTCGAACTGTAGTGTACAAAGGTAAATATAGCTGTTTATTACCATGCAAGTGTTATATTGGTACATAAAAAAATAAAACTACTAGGCCTAAATATTTAGTCAAATTGTTTTATTAAACATCCAAAAAAAACACCATCTTAAGTAATTTCAGAAGAAATACATAAATGGAGATATATTGAATCAATATAGGCTTAAAAACAATACTTTAACGCCCTGCCCTAGTAAATGACTTAACACATTACTGTAAAACGCAAAAGCTGATATCTGGAGTGCTTATAAGCCATACACTTGAGTGGCTGAAACCTCAAGCCTGTAATGAGCCCTTTTAAGACATAAACAAGCTTCTCACTTATTAATGACTACATGTTTTACTCACGCTCCGCATTCATATTTTATCGCCTGGCCTACATTATGACGACACATTAACTGGCCTTTAGCATCTCAAAAGTGGTAACTAGTTCAAAACCACCATCTAATGGATTCAATTTAAAATGCAGGATTGCACCCGTGCAGGAGATATTGCATTCAGCCACAACATGCGTGACCCCTCGCTGCCTGTCTCTCTCAGGATTCAGATGCATTCATCTCTTTCTCTGTCTGCAATCGCATCAGTTCCGTCCCACGGCCCAATGTCTACGTGACTGAAACAATCTCCAGTCTCTTCCACTCGTCTTGCTGTCAAACAATCCCGCCAGCTCCTCAAACACTTCCAGTCATGCTGTCAAAATCTCACCTCTCTGCCAGCGGGCTCACGACTGACCCAAGGAGAATGTAGCAGAGCCGCGCCATCTCTCTCCGCCG